TAAATGGATACTTACATTGTGATGACCCAATCTGGGATCCAGGTTTGTTGTACCTAAATAAGCTATCAACAAACACTGGCTTGATGCTGGCCTATGATTCTGGCTTGTTTGGGAACAACAAGCCAATATACTAAGAGGTTCTGACATCCCCAATAAACTATTGATATACCAGGATTCCAGTAATAAACTATCATTTTTTTTTGTATGTTTAACCAGTCACCAGAATATTGAGAACAAAGCATGAATAAACAGACTCATCACCTTGCTTGTTCTCAGTAAACCTAAATAAACCAGCAATTCTGGTTTATTGTCATGTGAATGCAGCCATTTTCTCCAATAAAGGTTACTTTCTATGAAGGGTGTTTAGGATTGCAGTTAGAAGTGGCAATTCTGTGCATCCCTTTCTGGGAGACAACTCTGTGGAACACAGTGGACCATCCTCCTGAATAAGCATGCACTTCTGATCATGCCTTCACTTTGGTTTTTACTTTCGACCGAGAGAGAGAGAGAGAGAGAGAGAGAGAAAATACAAGGCTGTGCCTTTAATCCTGAACTTCCTGATCTTTCACCTATTTGTTTGGGCTCCTTTATGCTGAGGTCACAGTAGAATTCACTGGGTGTAACACTTGCTTTACTTAAACTTATCTACAGTAAAGAGTCTGGCAATGATCTACTACTTGGAAGCCTTTTTATTGTTGGCGATTATCCAACCCTTTAAAAAAAGTCAGAAGGAGGAAAGGAAGGGAAATGGAGAGGGGAGGAAAAAGGCATCTATATCTTCTGCACTCATCTAGACAAACTGGAAGGGAGATGAAGATCCAGCCCTACCTCTTCCGTCGCTTCCTGCAGTGGCTTTCCCTTTTCATTCACAGAATTTTAAAAGCATCCAGAGCATGTTGACTTTCTTTGGCAGCTTTCCCATGTTTTCCCACTGGTTTCTTCTGTATTCTGGTATCCATTTGATAACAGAAAAAGTTAAAGCGGACAGGACAGGACAGGACAGAATGGCCTTTTGATTGGTAGCCCTGGCAGTAAGAGACATTTGACAGTGGAAGACGCTGCCTTTGACAGTGGTGGAGTCTCTTTCTTTGGAGGTTTTCAAACAGAAGCTGGATGGCCATCTGTCAGGAGTGCTTTGATTGTGTCTTCCAGCATGGCTGGTGCTTGTAATAGATAACCCTTGGCGTCTCTTCCATCTCTAGGATTGTTGGATTTTGCCTTATGCCTACAAGCATTTTGGGACATCACCTCGGGGGAACAATAGCATTACCAATAACATTTTCATTTCTGTATCGCTTAATAGTGAACTCAGGACTCTCTAAGCACTTTACAGTCTGTAAGCCAATTGCCTCCAACAAGCTGGGTACTCATTTTACTAACCTACAAAAGGATGGAAGGCTGAGTCAACCTTGGAGCCCTCTAAGATCGAACTCACAACCTTGTGGCTGCAGTAATGGCCTTAACCATGGCACCACCAGGGCTCCTTGCTATATCTGATCTACTTCAGTTCCCATCAGCCCCGACAATTGTTGTATCTGTTGTACTTCAGTTCCCATCAGCCTCGCTGAACTAGATCAGGGAAAATATGGACCAAAGGTCATATGCAGGTCATGGGAGGCCTGATTTGCAGCCCCTAATATTTCTCAAACTCCCAGACCACCAAAAAAAGGGGGGATTTTCCTCTCCCAGAACTCCCAAAATGGATTTTAACTGCTGCACACTGCTGCAGTATGGCTCCCACAATCCTCAACAACTCTCACATGCCTGAAGACCCCTTGAAAAACTTTAAAAATGCCACAAATCACTGCCAGTTGCATCAGATGCAAAGGTGTGCCCCCCACCGGGAACTACAGAGGTGAAAAATTCCCCCATAGCTCCCTACTCTTCTAGAAGCCAGTGATGAAAGGTGATGGGAGTAACTTCATCAGCTTCTAGAGAACTAAAGGTTCCCTCACCCTGCTCTGTACTAAGGTGCACTCAGTACTGATGTTTCAGTCTGTGTACCAGTGATCTGGGATGCCATTTTAAAGCATGGATTGTGAATTTGTCACCTCCTTTGTCCAACCACATTATTATTATTATTATTATTATTATTATTATTATTATTATTATTACCCTGCTCTTCAGCTACAAAGGCTCTCAGAGTGGCTTACAAATGAATTAATTAGATGGTTCCCAAAAAGACATGACACAAATGAGAAGGGAATGGCAGTGGGGAAGGGGATCAGGTCCAGCAGTTCTTCTCTCCTTCTGAGGCCTGGACTATGGCAGATGAACTGAAGGGAGCACTCTCCTTCTTAATTTAGGCTAGGCCTGAGGGAGCTGGCCTGAATTCCAGGCCGTTTTTTAAAAGTTTTCTGTTTTGAATGCCTGTCTGAAAAGGAAGATTTTTGCCTGTCAGCAGAAGGCCATCAAGGAAGAGGCCATTTTGGTCTCCCTGGGAAAAGTGTTCCAGAGTCTGGGGGCAGCTATGGAAAAGGCCCTCTTTCATGTCCCCACCAACCGTACTTGTGATGTTGGTGGGATGGAGAGAAGGGCCTCCCCTGAGGATCTCTGAGCCTCGGCCGGCTCATAGAGGGAGATATGGTCTGCCAAATATCCTGGACCTAAGCCATATTGCTATGATGGAGCATGCAACCATAGCTTCTTCTGCTCCAATCTGCCCCTGGTATCTTTCTCCAGTCCTTCCTCCTATCTGGTGACACAAACATGGAGGGTTCAACAGCAGGCAAAAGGTGGATGAATTTGTGTGGCAGAAAAATGTTGTAGAGAAAACAATTATTTCATTCTCTCATGTATATTCTTCCTCTCCCACAACTTCAAGCTCCTAGAACAGGGGTGGGACAACCATGGAGGACACCATTAATTCACCAACAGGATGGGAACTGTGATCTCCTCCATGTAATCCTAATAACTTGTGGTTGCGAATTCTGCAAGTCAGCTATGCAATATTTCATACCCTCCAACTTTCTCCATTTGGCAAGGTCAATCCCAGTTAATCCTCTCATGTCCCACATTTTCAACTGTCCCAGTTTCTCTCTCCTCCTCCCACTTTTGCCATTTGTTCTCAGTTTGCTTCAATTGCTGCAAGCTGACTTCAAAGGACAAAAGTAGTTACACTCAGTTAACTTAGGTAGAACAGATTGGACCTTGCCTTTCCTAATAGGATTTGGCTAAAGCAAACTTCTGCAGACTCTCTTAGCTTGTGTGATCTTCTTCTCATTAATAACTTTGCCATCTTGACTTCAATCTTACATTGCTTGGCCACACTTGTCCCAGTCTTCATCTGTGAAATGTTGGCAGATATCCTACATAGCTTTTCTGAACTGTATGATTTAAGAACTACAATCTATGAGTAGGAAGATCCTTATCTTAGCAAGATTGCCTGTACTGGAAGTATTTCATTTCATTTCTATCCCATCCTTCTTCCAATACGAGACCCAAAGCAGCTTACAACACAGGTTAAAACAAAATAGCTAGAACAAGATGGACTACAAAAGTGTTTTTTTAAAAAGGCATTAAACTGCCAATCCAGTTAAAACACTAATTTAAAACAAAAACTTATTCAACACATATTACATATTTTTAAATCCAGGGATGCCAATGAACATTCTTCTGCCCCCACTAGTTAAAGGCTGAAAGCCTGTTTAAATAAAGTTTTTGCCTGCCAGTGAATAGACAGCAGAGAGTAGAGAAAGTCCTCACCCATAAGAGTCAGGCAGACTCATAATGTAAGTAGTTAGCCATAATATCCAGACCATTTTCCATTTAAAATCTACAGCTACAATAAGTGCATTAAGGCTAACATCATATGTCTGTAATCCAGGTATTTGTTTTTGAGAGATTCCCCCCCCCCCTTTCCTAGGCAGAAGAATAAAAAATGAATGTTGCTGTGTTTTTCAGCTTGCTAGAGTCTTAGGGAAGATGGTGCTCCTGTTAATACAATAAAAAATCATTCTGAACCTTTTAGGCCTTGACATGGCAATGAGTTGTTTAAAAATAGAATGCTTGGGAACTATCAATTTTGCAAGCAGACATGCAGTTGTATGAGAGCTAGCTGGATCCTGATGAGATGGCCTGAAGCCTTCCCAGCTTTTCTTCAGGAAGGCAAGAGTATGGAGGAGGGAGAGGTGACGTGAATATGGAATTCTGATGTTCGAGAGATCTACCAAAAGAGAAGAGCCACATGAAAAGGCTGAAGAAGATGACTCTCTGGTCATACCCTCCAACTGTTCCAATATGGCAGGGACAATTCTGATTAATCCTCAATCATCCCAGATTTTCAGCTGATTTTAACATGGCCCAGTATCTCTCTCTTCCTCCCACTTTCTTCCTCTGTCCTGCTCACTTCCATTGCTGCAGATTGAGTTCTAAGTGCAAATGTAGTTTACACTCAATTCAGCAGCGAGAATCAAGAGGATGGGGCAGAATCTTGCCCTTCCCAATAGACTGTGGCAAAAGCAAACTGCAGCAACCTCTCCTAGCTTGTGTATTCATCCTCATTAAATAACTTTTGCCTTCTTGATCTCTGATGTTGTTTGGCCACAGGAGTCTCAAATTTCATCTGTGAAAGGTTGGAGGATATGGAAGTTGGCTGTGAAGATAAGCGAGAGATCAAAGAAGAGGAAGTGAGGACTGGGTTGAAAACATTAACAGAAAAAAGCCAGGATGCTCATTGGCATTTAAAAAAAAAAGCATTCTCAGTGCCCAGCTTTTAAGATCTGACATTTTATAGCAGCTAGGTCTCGTGTGGACATGCTTATTGTTGTTAACATCAGTATTATTTACTACGCAGCTCCTAGGGACTCCTAGCTAACATGGTTGGGGATTCTGGGAGTTGTAATCCAATAGTTATTCCCCCCAGCTCTAGTCTAAGCTGTACTTTTGTAGACATTTGTATGTATGTATGTATGTTTAATTTATATGCAGCCTTCACAAAAGATCTTTTAAATTACAATATTAAAAATACAATTACAATATTTTTAATAAAAATACAGGGAGCCAGAGTGGTGTAGAGGTTTGAGCATTGGACTAGGACTCTGGAGACCAGGGTTCAAATCCCGGCTTGGCCATGGAAATCCATTAGGTGATCTTGGACAAGTCATACTCTCTCAGCCTCAGAGGATGGCAATGCCAAGAAAACCCCATGATAGTCGCCATAAGTCATGAATGACTTGAAGGCATACAACAACAACAATAAAAATACAATTAAAAACATTAATATAACAAATTAAAATATAAAAACATTAAAAACTTACCAAGTTAAAAATATAAAACCATTAAACACATCCAAAAGCCAGTACCCCAATAAGTACCCCTGGGTGCAGTTACATATTAAAAGCCTGCTTGAAAAGAGAGGTTTTTGACTGCCGGTGAAAGGAGAGCAGGAATGGGGTCAGCGTCTTGAGCCACAGCATCACTAGGGCATTATAAAATAAAAGCTAAAAATACTCATAGAAATATACATTCATGCTTCTTAGTTATGCTCAAGATGGAGGACATTTTGGAATTCTTCCTGGACAGGGGTTTGAAATGTAGGGCATGTCTTGTTAAAGGAGGATGTCTGGTCACACTGAGAGTCCAGGCACAGCTACAGATAACCATTGGATGGGTTCAATCCAGTGCCTGCTTTGCACTGACAGAAGGTTGTTCATGGGAGATGCTTCCATCCAGTTTTGGAGGGACCCTCTCCTTTCCTATTCACCCCATTTCACTGGGTTTCCTTGTCACTTTTTTAGGGTTTTCATGTGATCAAAGGGGCTTACAAGACTGGGGAACTACATTTTCATTGATGTTTCTCACACTGGATCCCACTAGGCAAACATTATTTCAGTAAGGAACATGCCACAATTAGTTGGCAATTGTCTGCTCTCATTGCCCTGCAGAGTAGCCTTATCAGTGTGGAATCTCTTTTTCATAACCATTACGAAACTTGGAGTTCCCCTCTGGAGTTACTTGGCAGTCAGTAAAGGAAAAAGAAAGGGAAATGTTGCACGCATTGGCCGAAACTTCTTGAGGTTATGGCAACCAGTTGAAATGGCATTCTAAGCAAAAAACTTTTACACTGTAAGCATTGACCATTAAGTAGAATGATACATTCTTGGAAAACATGCTTCTGGTCAAGACTGATGAAAGGAATCTCACTTGATTCCATAATTAAATTAACTGATGAATCATTTGATCAATTGATTAAGTTAGCATATATCCACAGGTGAATAAGAACATTATAGAGAATCTCCATTCCAAAGTTTGGGAAAGTTGCGTTTGGGGCAAAGACTCCAACAGAAAGCATGGGATTTTTCCAAGCTCTACTCCCTCCGTGCATGAAAAGCCCATCGTTCGTGTCAGTTTTTTGTTAATATAGGCAATGGGCTTCTTAGACTGTGCAGGCTCCAGTTAAATGCATGTAAACTACACAAGAACTTGGGACTGTGGAGTAAATCTTTTAAAAGCTTCATGTAACACCTTGTTTAATTTTGCTTATGTAATTTATTTCTACTCCACCCTTCAACATGCCCATTATCAGGGTGTCTTACAGGGGAAGATAAAATAACAAATTACAAGACAGGAATAAAACAAATTTCCAATCGACTGGGGAAAAACAACAACAGACCAGTAACATGGGACAAAACATTAGCTGAGATTAGAAACCAAGTTCTTATGATTTCAAAGCTCTTGGTTAACCAAATAATTTTTGCTTGTTACTAGAAAAAGACATACCAAGGCAGTCCTCTCTTGAAGTTTCCATGGCCCTAACCAACAAGATCTTTCTCTCTGATTATCATCTGTAGTGCCTCCAAAGACAGAAGAAGTTTCTTTGGGTGCATCTACACTGCAGAACTGAAGCAGTTTGACAGAACATTAATTTCCATGATTCTGTCCTACAGAATCCTGGGATTTGTACTTTGATGAGGTATTCAGCCTGGTCCTTTGGAAATTTCTGGTGCCTCACCAAACTACAAATCCCAGGATTTTGTAGGACAGTTATGGCAGTTAAAATGCTTTAGTTCTGCAGTGTGGATACAACTTTGGTTGCACTACAACTCCATAAACTGCCAGAAAAATTGGGGAAGTTACATGCCCAGAACTCCCCTGCCATCATGGCCCCTGTAAAGTCAGCCCTCTGTATCAACAGATGCCTTATCCACAGATTTAACCATCCATAGCTTGAAAATATTCAACAACAACAAAAAAAACATTCCAATAAACAAACCTTGATTTTACCATTTTATATAAGGGGTACTGTTTCACTATGCCATTGTATTTAATGGGTCCTGAGCAGCCACAGATTTTGGTATCCATGCAACCAAACCTCAGGAGATACCAAGGGCCCACTGTAGTTCAAAATAAGTGAAATCCATGTAGGTTGGTCCAATTATTAAAGGTTCTTAAAATGAAAGCCATGCCATGTAGCAAAAAGTGACTCTTCAGCTTCCTGGATTCCAAGCCATGATTAAAATAGCAGCTTCAAAGTGGCCTCAGATGGGCAGCTAAGAAAGAGCTACAAAAAGATCCTCAACTGAATTACCTGTGCTATGGTTTGGTTTCTGTGCATGGATGTAAAAGCTGGGCAATGGAGAAAGCTAACAGAAAGGGAGTCAACTGACTTGAAATGCAGCACTAGAGGAGAGCTCTATCAATGCCATGGACTGCTAAAAAGACAAATGTGTCCAAGAACAAATCAAACCTGAACTCTCCCTAGCAGCCAAAGTTAATTAAACTGAGACTGTTATATTTGGGCATATCATGAAATAACATGACTCACTGGAAGAAGCAAAAATGCTGGGAAAAATGGAAGGCAGCAGGAAAAAAGGAAGACCGTGGCTGCATCCACACTGCAGAAATAATCCCGTTTGAGACCGCTTTAACTGCCCTGGCTCAATGCTAGGGAATTCTAGAAACTGTGGTTTTGTAAGACATTTAGCCTTCTCTGTCAGAGAGCTCTGGTGCCATAATAAACTAGAATTTCCAGGATTCCCTAGCACTGAGCCAGGCAGTTAAAGCAGTCTCAAACGGGATTGTTTCTGCAGTGTTTTGGACCCATTTTACAGTCTATCAAGTCTATCAAGGAAGCTACAGCCCTGATTTTACAAGACCTACATGGCATCTGGAGTGCAGAAATGTTGGAGTTTGACACTGCTTTAATTGCCATGGCTCAATTCTATGGAAACCTGGGATTTGTTGCAGCACCAGAGCTCAGACAGTGAAGGTTAAATATTTCATTTCTGTCTTATCCAGATGGAGGTTTTGTTAATCCATCACCAGTCCATTCATGAACTGGTGAAGGAATCTGATTCAGCACCAATTCCTACATACCGTGGCCTTTGTGTCGAAGCAGAAGTCATACATCTATGGCACTATGAATGAATTATTATTATTATTATTATTATTATTATTATTATTATTATTATTATCCCACCCTTCTCCCAAGACTTTGAGACTTAGGGCGGCTTACAACATTAAAAAACAATACCAACGTATAAGAAACAGTCTTCTGTTTTTAAAACAAACAAAACAAAAACATATTTCTTGGCACGAACAGAGCTTGGAAACATAAAAAATGACAGAAAGGTAACTGTTTAGTCTGAAAATCCATGCTGTTTGGGGGATTCTAGGAATTCTAATCCAAAACTAGCTCTAATTGATGATGATGATGATGATGATGATGATGATGATGATGATGATGATAGTGATGGTTACTATAATTGTTATGGTTATTAGAAAGAGAATTATCGAGGTGAAGCTCAAACATGTCTTATTCATGCCATCAAGTGTTTCTCAGGAGGATCAAAATAGTTTGCTCCAAATAAATCCCTTTGATAGTGTAGTTTATAGACAAAAACTAACCAAGCAACACCATTTAAAATTCAAAATCTGCAATGGGGAAGGGGGGATAGAACCCAGTACTGAGTTGTATGATGGGGATATAAGCCATTTTTTTTCAACCTATAGATATGTCCCCTTAATTAAATATGCATCTGAACTCTTTTTAGCATAATCTAACAAAGAGTTTGCCCTCTAGCTCCCTCTGGTGAATTGCCACAACATACAACTCATTACAGCCACAGGCCAATTGCAAAGAGCTAACAGTAGAAATTCCAAACTCATCAGGAATGATCATGATCATCCCATAACTTGATGGACCTTTTGTTTTGCTTTCAGCCAAGAAATTGGTGGTCAAGTTTTTAATGGTTTTAAACACAAGTTTCTAGCTCTCACTGCAGAAAACCATGAAGTGCGAAAACAGGCTTGGAAGAAGGCTTCAGAATAAATCCAATTTATTCCAATCTTTTTCTAGAGAAAGAAAAAAACCTGTGCATCTTTTTTTTTTTATCAACTGAATATCTTTTATTTGAACTTTTTCTTCAATTGATATAAACTACCCCAGTCCCATAATGAAGGAGTTTTCTAGCTATGAAATTTTAACTCTGAATTTCAGATGCTCTTATAATAATCAATGCTTTGCAGTCATATTTAAATCCCAGAGCAAATTTCTTCCTCTTCTCAGGATAGGAAAGGTCAGTTCCAAGAATGAGAAAGATTTAGAGAAGGTTAGGATAATCAAGAAAGCATTGAAGAACCAGCACTGTTCAGCTTAGTTCAAGTCCATGAAAGTCAATATTACTCAACCTCACAACCTTGTTGTAAAGGAAGCAATACGTCTCAGAGGCACTATCTGTTGTGCTCTGAACAACCTTAAAGAAAGTAGGATGAGAATATGATTTAAAATGGCCAAGGTTGAAGCAATTGACAAGAGTCAGAAAAGGGATAAGAGGCAAAATCTATTCACTTCATTTAGGCCAAAATGCAGAGTTCAGAGGTATCTAGTTATACATAATTGGTTATTTATTATTATGTCATGATGAGTAAGGTGAAATGAAGGGCCTTTACAGACTGCCAGAAATAATGCAGCTTGAGGCCACTTTAACTGACCTTGGCTCAGTGCTAAGAAATCATGGGAACTGTAGTTTATTGTGGCACCAGAGCTTTCTGACAGAGAAGGCTCAATGTCTCAGAAAAAAATACAATTCCTATGATTCCCTAGCACTGAGCCTGGACAGTTAAGCTGGAC